GGTGTCGGAGAGCTAAGCTAAGCTGAGCGGGCTCCATGCTTGCCATGGTATGTTGTCTGCACAGGTAACCCAGGTAAAAAGGCGTGAATTGATTGTCTGCCATTGCTCTGACAGAGGGGGAGGGGCCTGATGACATGTACCCAGAACCCGTCACGACACTGTTTTTGCATCATCAGGCATTGGGATCTCAACCCAGAATTCCAATGGGCGGTGGAGACTGCGGGAACTGTGGGATAGCTACCCACAGTGTAATGTTCCAGAAGTCGATGCTAGCCTCGGTACTGTGGACGTGGTCCGCCAACTTAATGCACTTAGAGCATTTTATGTGGGGACACACACAATCGACTGTATAAAACCGATTTCTATGAAACCGGCTTCTATAAATTCGACCTAATTTCATAGTGTAGACATACCCTGAGGCTTACTTCCCCCTGCACACACAGATCCACCGTCCATAAAGGCCTCGCACAAGCAGATCAGGTTGTCTTACTCTCTCTTATGCCTACTTACCTGTACATCTCACAACGGTTTCAACAGTTTAGGACCAAACCCTGAGATCCTTAGGCAAACTGATAACTAACGATAGAGTTAAAAGAGAGAATTAGGCCATAATCCATTTGCTCTTATGTCTGTGTGATGCTGTTGTACAGATTAGTTAGCAATTATAGAAATGATCCAGTCTGTCATTCCAGACTGTGGAAAATTAGGAAATGGGAGAATTAAGTTTGCCTCTGCAATCTTAATTTGGATCATTGTATTATGACAAAATCTTTACTCGCATGATCACATACTATTTTTCCACAGGACCTCTGCCTCATTCAGTGCACAGGATGGTCAGTTCTCTGAATGGCCAGCTATTCGATATTACTTTTTTATCCTGCACCACAGTTAAACAGCTCCCCAGCCTGAACCCCAGGAGCTCGAGTCAGCTGGTGCAGGCCAGCCATGGGTGTTCAATTGCACTGTAGAGATACCCTGAGAAAAGTTGCCAGAGTCCTGGGGGAGGGGAGGCAGTGAGGAATACTGCTCGGAAATGAGTCTTCAGGGAAGTGGCCCTGAGAGGTAGCACTCAGCCAAAGGAGCAAAGAAGAGGTCTGCAGCCCCCAGGAGTAAGGGTGAGGAGCAGAGACTTTCAGCATAGACCAAGAGGGGCAGAAGGATCTTCTGTTGGGAGGTTGGTGTGGATTCTTTTTGTTACCCTGGAAGGAGAGAGAACTGGAAAGAAGTGCCCTGACTGAAGGGCTGAGCCATGGAAGAAGTAGACAGCAGGTCACTGTGGGGCCAAGAAAGAGTCAACAGGGCGCACTAAAGATGAAGACACTTGCGATGCCATGGGGTGCTACAGCAGTAAGTGGAACCATTTATGGTTCCTACACAATAGCCTCCTTCACGACACAACCTTGGTCCATTACCTGACCACCATCCATCCTGTGCTGCACTGAATAAAATAGGGACCCTGTGGAATAAATTGTATGTGATATTGTAATTAAAGTCTGTATCAAGAATGCTTACCCCAAGGGGGGTAAATTACAATTGTAAAGGCAACCTTAATTCTGACCTGTCCTAACTTCTGAGTACAATGATAATGTTCTTTTAATACAGTTTGGGGGAAGTCATTTCCTGTTTCTTTTAAAAAGGAAACTGAAAAGGCAAATTCCATTATGTGGAATCATGCTGACTCCTCACATGGGTCATCACTAGTGCTGGAATCCTTAGATTCACAACACAGCCCTCTACCAAAAGGCTGTTATCTTCTGTGTGGATCTGCTACTAGAGCGGGTGGAGAGATACTCTTTGCCATTGGGTTTAGAGCTATTTACAAGATAGCAAAGGAATGTAGAGGCTCTGGATACCGGTGTTCTGTCCCAGTTTCTGTAAGGAAGAGTTCTCTAGTGGTCATAAAACCTTTCTGCCCTTGTCCCCAGCCTCTCCATGCCCCCTTCTGCTCCTATACACTCCTCCCCAGCTGCTATTCCCACCCCCCGGTTTCTTTCCATTTCCTCCCCTTGGCTCTTGCCTCTGTGCTCAGCTACTTCCCATATCCCACCCCTCCAGGGTCCCAGACCACCTCTCCCCACCTTTTGGCTCCTATCCTTCTCCCCCCCCCACACACACACACACCTTGTATCTCTTCCCCCTCCTTCCTATACCTCGGAATGCCTGACAGATGACTTCCTACTTCTCCTCTGCACAGCCTGGGTGCCAGCAGTAGGGCCACTACTTAGAGTACAGAGGAGTCATTTTCCAAGCTGGCAGCCAAGAAGAGCAATTTAAGCTCGCAGGGAAAGTCCTGCTCACTCCCTGCAGTCCTGGGTATGGAGTAGGCTCAGTTACTCTGACATCAGGGGATGACACCTGTGCAATCTAGTCACACACAGGAGCTCTGAGGGGAATGGAGCATGCTCAGTGCAGATGGAATCTTCAGAGAATTTCTCTCTCAAACCTTACAAGTCTCTATTAAGCACATGCAAATTCAGATTTTTTTAGAGGCTTATAACTTGGACACAGCTGGACAGCAGCAGGCACATGCTTGGAACCAGGATTACCTCCCTGACAAATGTCAAGTCCCTTCTCCAAAGCATGGAGATGCTAGAGCTTCTCAATTGGAAGAATATTTTTAACAGGGGCAAAACAACATCCTAAACTAATTCTTAGAAACTACTGAAACATTTTAGCTGAATTTTTTTTTCCACGTTTAGCCCAAGGCAAACACCCAGCATGGACAATTTCAGTCCAAATAGCTAAAGTCTTGCAAAATTATAAGTAACTAAACACATGGTAAGACAATGGAACATGTCAGGCAACCTTAACTATAGGAGTTGCTACCTGCCTCACTTATAGTAGTACCTGTTTCTATAGAAATAATGCAGAATATCAGATCCAAAGTTTGAAGTGCAGGCAAATGTTGACTTTGAAGTGGTGACCACTTGTCCAATATTTGTCCTTCAGCTTTAATTAAAGTATGTATCTTCATCTTTACTTAATTATTGTGATCTCTTAAACAGCTGATGATCTTTAGAACTGCTGTTTATTTACAATGATTCTAATGTTAGGGAAAATGTTTTCCTTTTTCTAGCAGTATTGTTGCTGATATAAAAGATAAAATTCTGCAGATGAATTCAAAAGTGATATCAGGAAATTAATTATGACTCGTAACAAAGTTGTCTTGTAATGTTTTAAATAGAGCAGTCTTTCATTGTTGTTTTGTTCTCGACTTTGTCTCACATCTCGCAAACTTTTACAATGAGCCTAAGCATTTGTGGTTGATTTGAATACATTTTAGGATTGATGCTGGTGAGAAAAGTGTTTAAATTCACATTGTGTAAGCTATATTGTCAAGTTTAAATCACAAATGGAATTTGTGGTTAAAAGGACAGAAAACAAACTAAAAACAATCTGCCACTTTCCCTCTTAGAGGTGGCAGCTCTGCAGTGGTGGATAAAATGAGTCAGTTAATATATTACATATGCAAGCTAAATATATACCAAATAGCACCCCTAGTTATCTGAGATACTCCTGTATTCCCCTTTACTGAGCATACAAAATAGCTGTCTAATCAAATACAATATATAGTAAGCATTGACTTCTTAAGGGGAATTACTGTATAATTAGTAAAGTTTGTTAGGCTGCTACAGAATGAAAGGGGCTATAGAAATTTAAGATACTGTTATGGTATAATGAAAAATAAACAAAAACGGAAGCTTTCAAAACAAATGAGCCACTGGTACACCAAGAGACACTTCACCACAGCTGTCATGTAATACATGCACAGAGTATTTGCACTGCAGTAATACTGGTATATACATTCAAGAATTTCAGTCATGAAGGAATTCCTGCTTTGGTCACCTTGCATTTTTAAAACAAAAGAACCTTAAATTACCCAAAACCAAGTTATCTGATTTGGTTGCGTGTACACGCACACACACACCCCACCCCACCCCACGTGAACACATTTTTATGCACAATTTGAAAAACACATTCTTGGCACAGCTCATCAAAGATGCACTCCATTTTATCATAGCAGAGCATGTTCTAGCATAAATTAGGAGGGCTTGAGTTTAGGTGAGCTTTGATTTACATATAATTTGAATGGACAGAATAAAAAGTATATACGGTACCTATTTTCTATATCTATGCACGTGTATATACGGTTTTGAGTTAATTTGATGCTTAAAAAAATGGAAGCCTTCTTCCAGTCAGGGTGTATGCAGTCTGTATACAAACTCCTATGCATAGTTTTACCAATGTACCTCAGTCCTGATCTCAGAACACTACTTCTGCTATTGAGTCATGGGCTTGTGAACAGAAACTGCAAATCATGACGAACTATGTCAAATTGTATGGTGGCCTAAATACCTGTGAGGATCTGGGCCCTAGTGCATTTGTCCCTATTTTATGTAATCATACCAAGTTTTTGCTGCTCTACCAGACTTTTCAGCATGAGTAACACAGGGCTTGCATTGAACTGGTATTTCCTGCTTTGATTAGAGCATGGGTGGATTGTGTCGCTCTTGCAGTTCTCAAAGAATTAAGGAGGCCTTTAGTGAGTGCTTACAGACATTAACAAGCCTCTTCCAGAAGGTATGTGTGTAGCACCGCTTTCATTCTTAACAGCATTTGCCAAGCAGGATCAGGTAACATGCAAAACGTAGCAAGTGTGAATCAGACATCTCACCCGGTTCCATTATCAGTGACCCTAAAGCCTTGCCTACACTAGCTATACTGGCAAATCCCCTTAGCAGAGACACACTTTATACTGGCCAAAGCATTATTTTTACAATATAGCTTAAAGCAGTTCCCTGAACAGGACTCTTTTGCTGGTATAGCTACATGTACATGACAGCTTTTGCTAGCATAGCATGTCAGTCAGAGGAGGGAAAAATCATCCCCCTGGTTGACATAGCTACACCAGCAAAACTCAAGTGTAGAGCAGGCCTAACTGAACCAAAGCTATGGGAATGAGTTTGGGAGGAAATCTACCTAATTATCTGTTCTTTACTATCCAACAGCATGTTGGATATTATGAGATTTGCCACTACCTGCTTTGGAAAGTCATGACTAGTAACTGGATCCATTTATTCTGCCCTGTCTTTATGTGATTATATTTAAATGCACTCTTTTGAGTCTTGGTCTCAGATCCATGAACAACTTCAGCCAGCTTCTATGGGAGGGGTAACACATGTATATAAGGGCTGAACATGGACTACTGCCTTGAACTGCCATTTTTTTTTACAGTATCCAGCAAAGGTATGAATGGCTGATCATGAACTGTCAAAATCCAGCTATCATGATTATAATGCCTCAAGAACCTGTTGTTCGTTTTTCCCCGATTGTCTACTTCAGAGTCATGTCTTTCACTTGGTGAAGGTGTTAAACTGACCTTGGCAGAGGGAAGATATAGAGAAACAGAGTCACCTCCCATCTATATAATTCCCCCTATATAGAATTTTTGGTTTCTTAGGTATTTATATGGCCCCCACTACCACAGCATATGAGCATCTCACAATGGTCCCTATGTAGTAAGGAAGTGCAGTTCTCCTTGTTTACAGATGGGGAACTGAGGCTCTTGCCTAGGGACACACAGAAAGTCTATAGCGGAGGAGAAAACTGAGGTCTGGTCTCCTGATCACCCTTGTTTCGAATCTTTCCTTTTCATCTAACCAGCCATTTCCTCCCTCTCTTCTGTTAGTACAGACTAAGCTATAGTGCATTGCTGTGGGGAGAGAGTCATGACAGTAACTATATTTCACAATTTCTGTGGCATGGCATTTCACACGCACATTTTCACTACTTTGCCATGCACTATTATGTTCCCTCACCCATTATATTGATATTAAAAATTGAAAATATGAATTTTTGCATGGTTTCTGTGCAAAAGCCATCTTTGCTTAAAACAAAGGTAGAGGATACTGCTTGCAGTTAATTTTGTTCAGGAACAACCCTGGTTTTGCTCAAAAACTTGCCCATTCTCATTGGAAAATGGGTCCCTTTCCTTGAAAAATGTGTGTGCCTAATGAGCCCATTTTTGAGCCTAATTAACTATGAAAAACCCTGAATTTTAAGTAGTTTGCTTTTTCATCATATGTATTTTTCATTCAGACACAGGTCTCAGACATTCGTGGATCACAGATTCATTACAAGTAGTTGTGACCAGACCTTTTATGTTATGGTGAAAAATGTTCTACACATCAGATCTTGACATTTTAGAGGACTTTCATTTACCACTAGGAGGTGCAAATGGTCTTTCCACCAGCCTGACAGCACCACTACTCTGCCTTAATTCTCCATTCTCTTCTCTATAGCCACTTTGCTCTTAGGTGGGAATGGTTTTATTTTTCATTCACTGGCATTTATCTACTTATTTCCTTATTTCCACCCCCAAATCCCCCTTTGCATTTTATTATTTGTTTCAAAGCCATTTCCCAGCATACTCCTACCCCAACATGTGTTCCAGCTTCTAATCCTTGGATTTAGGTTTCTTAGGATCAGCGTTTGTGATATTTGCTGGGAGTTGACTCTGACCTGTTTCTTGCCTTTCTGCTGATGTCAGAGACAGATGGTATTACTTATAGATCTGAAAACTGCATGCATAATGCTGTGCAAGTTGTGCTCTGAAACAGACTCACCCTCCATTTTATTTTTCTGGCAACATTATCTTCAGGTCGGAGTTCTTCACTATCTCTTTTTCTACAGCTTGACCAAACCATAGTATCACTGTTGATGAGAGATGTGGCCAAGGCACAAAGATCAGATCTAAACATCCTTGGAATGCCTGGAACCTGTTTCTTAGCAGAATGAGCAAAATTAAGAGTGTTCAGATCCAGAGTTTTGGGTCACATCCATCTCTGTTAGCAACAGAGTTCTGTTTTCTCCCTCTGTTGTGCAGATACTGTTAAGTTTCTTCTTTGGCTCTGGTAGCTCTGTCTTTTGGTTTAAAACTTCGCACTTTTTCCTACCATAAAAGACTGATGGGCAGGTAAGAAGAAACTTGTTTGGCACAAAGAAGCATCCTCCTCACTCAACCCCCTACTTGTTCACTCAGATCCAGGACTAAACCTTTTGGAAAGTTCTGAACTATATATATATTTTTCTTAATGTTGTGCGGTGTGTCAGGATGACAGGGTTATTCTGCCTACCTGTTCTGCCCACCACACAGAGTGGAACTCATTAACTCCACCTCAGGGGAATAAAACACTGCCACAAAACGCTACACCTGCTGCGGGCGATGTTGAGCTATAGGCGGCTACATGTCCACTTAGGCAATGAAGTCAGTTGGCCCCGGTTCCTCAACAGTGGACTGCCACAAGGCTCAGTACACATGTCGACGCTTTTCAATGTTTACATGAGCGACATGCCTTCAACAAAATTGCGCAAATTTGCATATGCAGATGACCTTGCCCTGGCAACGCAAGCAACCACCTTCAGCAAAATCAAATCTACCTGGGAGGAATATTTTCAGAAATGGAAGCTCAAGCCAAATTCTCACAAAACAACAGTCACTGCATTCTATCTTGATAACAGGAACGCTAGGCGCACCCTGAAAGTGACCTTCTGTGGAAACACTGTGCAACATGACCCCACTCCCATCTATCTTGGAGTGAAGCTGGATCCCACACTAGCCGTCCATGACCATCTGAAGAAGGTAGCTGCTGAGACGAAGACAAAGGTCAACCTAGTTCAGAAACTGGCAAGCACTAGCTGGGGAGCATCAGCATTACAGACATCAGAGATGGCCCTTGCATACTCCGTAGCTAAGTACTGTGCACCGGTAAGGACCAGAAGTAGCCATACTTGACTTGTTGATGTCCAACTAAACACTGCAATGCACTGGAACACTGGAACTCTCAAGCTGACCCCAACATCTTGGCTGTCAGTGCTGTCACACATTGCTCCCCCATCCACTCGCCTTCAGGAATTCCAGAGGATTATGGAAAATGAATATCTTTCCATGCACCAGGACCTTAACAATGTCCTTGACCACCACTTGAAGTCACGTGAGCCCTATTGGACCCTGATGAAGTTCATCAATCCTCATGAAGTTTGGAAAGCCAAATGGAGTTCACAAGAAATCATAAACAAACACCTTGTGAAAGACCAAACACAGAAGATCTCTGGCTTTGGTCTCCCATGAAGCTCATGGGCAACCCTAAACCATATCTGCACAAACCATGGCAGGTGTGGCTACTTGCTGAACAAATGGAAAATTAAAGACCCTCCATTGTATGACTTGATAACCCAGAACAGATCATGGAACACATAACAATTCAGTGCCTGATTCACAAATACGAAGGAGTCATCACAGTAATACACTCTGCTACTTCAGACGCAATTATCTGGTTTAACCATCTAAATGTAAAATTAGAGTTGCTGCTCTATATTTACATCAGCCATACAAAAAAAGAAGAACAGGAATAAAAGATGGACAATCTCTAAATAGCAATAAAAACTGAGATGGGAGATGTTGAATCAGAACCTTAATAAACATCAGCTTAGGGGTATGTTGAGGCAAAAGGTCAGCGTGTTGAAATAATCTCTGGACACTAACACTCTCTGTGTTCACAGAGGAATGGGGATTCAAACCATTTATATGCTGTATCTATACTTCTAGCAATGAAACTGGAGGTGCTGAGACACCACAGGAAAGTGTGTGCAAAGGGTATATGATGTGATGGGAAGCACGGAGTCTCAGAAATCTCATGAAAAAACCTGTTCTTGTGAGTTTCCCAGCAGACTCAGGAGGTTTGAGTAGTTTGGATTAGCATTTGAACCCTTAAACTTTTGTCCAAACAGATTTTGGACCTTTTGAAGGTTTTCCCTTCACTGCCAATGGGCAACCCTGTACTGTCACTTCAGAGTGTATACACATTCCACAGATGCAGGCCAAAATTTTAACCTTGAATTGAACACTGTTGAATTTCTTCCCTATATTCAAAATCCTGGATTTAAACCTGCCTCTATAAGTACAGGCATGGGGCCTGGATCAAAACCTAGAAGGGGTCTATTTTTGAGTTCTTCAATAGAATAGCCAGGTTTGTGAGATTTCAGCACAGGATAGTGGCAGTCTCACAAAAATAGGTGATCTCATGTGACTTCCACCCAAGATGGCACAAGTCTGAGTTGATCGAGCAAGCTGTTCACCAGAGCAGCTCACAAGGTCTCAGCGCTATCAAATTTAAATTTCAACCACCGCCTAGTCTTAATCTGGATCCAAACATTGTCTCTACCTTCTTCTACCCATCACACACTCACACAGAGTTGCGCGTTTAACATATAAATACAAACACACAGAGAGCTTATACTGATTATGTTGGAACAACTTTAAACATTTGTTTTAGGTTTGATCTACATGTGAGCCTAAGTGCATTCTGGCTTGCAATGCAGCTACTGTGTTGATTTCATAAGTTTTAATTGTGCTTAGTTATATACCAGTATGTGGGTGTGTGATGGAAAAGGAAGGTGAAAAAAGGGAGGTGAAATATTGCTTCAGTTCTATATTTTCCTAAAATATCACCAGAATAGCACAAGGTTAGTCCGCCCCAAAAGAACTGTAGTACTTTTTTTTGTTTTTTTTTGTTATTGTGAAAATTGGACATACATTTTCTTTACTGTATATTAATTGACTGAGCAAAATAAGGTCTAACACTCAACTCAATGGCATTTCTCTGTTTTGTCAGACTGTAGTACATCCAATCAATTGCAAAATTTCTAGGAACATTCTAGGCATCAATGGGCAAGAACCAGATAGATTTTGGTGCCAGCTGGAAAACCGGAACACTGAAAGAGACCTATTTCCACACAGTGCCCATTTGGTGCTACAGACAATATTGTGACATCAGAAGTAAATCACTCACTCACTCCAGGTCATTTGCACACTTCAATCCCATTGGTTAAAATGAGTCAGCAAATGAAACTATGGTCAGGACTGAGGTGACAGAGTTATGGGGGTTCAATACTGGAATAGCAGAGGCTGCTATAGATCAAGAGCTATGCAGCTGAGTAGGAATGAGGCTATAGATTTTCACTGTGGCACCCTCCATATTATCCCTGGCTCAGGCAAGATCATTTACCTTTGCCCAGTCAAAACTATTTTAGTTAATCTAAACAGTGCCCACTTGGTGCTTCAGGCAGAGAGAGTCAAGAGGAGAGGTGGCCAAAGCAGACATCAGGGTTAGGGTGAGGGTTGCTGGAGTAGGGTTACCATATTTCAACAATCAAAAAAGAGGACGGGAGGAGCCCCGCCCTAGCCCCGCCCCTGTCCTAGCCCCGCCCCTGCCCCTTCCACTCCCTCCCACTTCCTGCCCCCTCAGAACCCCCAACCCTCCCCCCACTCCTTGTCCCCTGACTGCCCCCCAGGACTCCACCCCCTCCCTAAGCCTCCCTGCCTCTTGTCCCCTGACTGCCCCCTCCTGAGACCTTCCCCACATCCTAACTGGCCCCCTAGGAC